ATCTTTTCCTTCTTGTAGATACAAACATATTAGAGACAATGCATTGATATTGTCCAGCATGTTCTTGTGCAAGAGGAGATATTGTGAGCTCAGAGTAAGTGGATTGTGTGTTGATTGTGACTCGAGGGTCACTGTTTGGGTCAATTTGTGCATTGCTATGGACCCATTCCACACCAACAAAGTCATCATCATACGAACAATTAATGGAAACAGTGTCATTGCTTTGATAAACAGTAGTATGAACTATTGTGTATCCTTTATCGGAAATAATACTGAAAGTAAAATATTTAGGACATAATAACTTACTTATTAGCTGTACATAAACAGTAACTGTAGTTTCTCTTTTAATACCTGGTAAATCAATGTGTGTTGTTCTACAAGTGTAATTACCACTAGCTGCTCTGTCAATATTTGTTAAAGTTAAGTTTAAAGGAGGATTATTAATGATAGGTGTTAGCTCAATACCATCACTATCATCAAGAGCACATGCACTCTTTCTATCATTAATCCATACATAACGTGGCATACCAGTATTACCAGGATCAGAACATGTTAATGTTAAATTAGAGCCTTCAGTGATATTAACAGTGCCATCAGGAGATACTACTGGGTCCAGAAAGACTATTTTAGAATAATAATAAAAACATATAGACAAAATATGCTTAGCTCACCAAAATCTCCAAAGGTGATGATGCTTTGTTGACCAGCAGTCGATGATGAGCATGTTATAGTATCACCAACATTGACAACATCATCAGGATACTCCAGGGTCATACGCATAGTATCAGAAGTACTTGATAGATTAACATTTCCATTAAAGTCCCCATCATTCAGTACAGTACTGCCCTTCCTCCATACACCATCAGAAAAGGTAAAAAAGTTGCCTTGATTAGTAAAGAAACTGCATTGAAGGCATAATGGCTCTGTCAATGGTACATGGATGGTTCTATCACTTAAAATAAAAACAGAGATGACATCAGGAGGACATTGAGCCACAGTGAAGCCTATTAATGATGAAAATATTTGCAATGAAAGATTTAGTTCTCACCTACAGACAAGAAGGTTACCATTAAATGAGCAAGTATCATATTCATCTTTAACTTTGTCTGCTCAGGTTGATTCTATCAGGCACTCCCACTAAATTACTCTTATAATAACAATTGCATTTAAAGTTACATCATACCAAACATTCAAGTAAAAATTTGCTATTACAATTTGCCATTGTAAAAAATAAACACATAAACAAATTCAACACAATCTTTTATGCAATGTTTCACAAAAAACAATCTATACCTTTTTTACTTTTATTTAAAAAAATTTTTATATTCATTTTTAAAATATTTAATTTTACTTTCATTGTTTTTATTTTTTAAATTAAAAAATTATTTTTTCTATTTTTTGCTTATTTTTCTAATTTTTATTTTTAACTTTTATTTATTTTTTTAATTTTATTAATTTTTAAATTCATTATTAAAGGTAAGGGACTTCCTCCTTGCTAATGAGCTAATGAATTTAATTAAAATTGTTATTGGTACAACTCGACATTTGAATACACAAAAATACATAATTATAGTTCTACTAAATGGCAAAAATTTTGCATGATTCTAGCGATAATAAGCAAAAAAGGAAGGCATTAAATGTGATACATGTTCTTTGCAAAGTCATCAGTGCAGTGCATCAATATTTTCATATCGTTTTTCTGTTGTTGGTGGACCAGAAATCTGTTCATATTCTGGTATCAGTGATAAATAAGCTAAATTAACATCAACTGGGATATCTTTCAGTCCATCAATTGATCTACCTATAAAGTACACACAAACGATTCAATACACTATGCAGTGTCTATGGTTAAACTAACTTTTATTGATGGACTTCTCAGTTATGAAAATAGCAACCGATGATCAAAGTAACTAATGCTGTTACTATAGATCATCTATAGTGAAAACAATTTCAGGAATATTTTTACACTAATACTCTTGTTACAACAGGTAGCCAGCCTAGCTGCTGTGTTATCCTTCAATACATTTTCTGTGTATTGTAAAGTTTATTAATAATAATAATAATAACATATTCTCTGATGCATAAAAGTAATAGCTCAAGAACTAACCAGACACAGTCTTTAAAAGAGTTCCAACTTCAGGATGCTTTGATCCCAAGTCGTACGGGTACTGGTTCTCATTGTTACGTATCATTTTATTTGCTCCTTTATCAAGCAGCATCTCTACTATGACATGATGTCCCTTCCATGCTGAATTATGTAACTGAGTGTCATCTAACTTGTTCTGTAGTGGGAAAGAGCATACATTTACATTATTATTAATTTTTTATTCCATTTATCATACATTGTACATGTACAAAGGCATTTTATTTCAAGCATGTAGGTACTAGGTACACTGTTAAATTTTGTAAATTTAAACTTTGCAAACATAAACTTATGCAAATATTTTCCATTCATGGGGTTTTAAAAAATTAAGTATTTCCCCAAAAAATTCAACCCCTATACAGTCATTGGTTATATACTTACCTGTACATTGATTTCAACATTAGGAATAGACAACAATCGCTCAACACATTCTGCTGGAAAAAGAAAAGAAAAAAAGATAAAAAGGAAGTGAGGGATTTTGTGTTAGGAAAGAGAGGAGGAACAAAGAAAAAAAAAGAGAAAGAGAGAGGCATACCAATATGGCCACCGCTAGCAGCCCAGTGTAAGGCAGTAGATCCTGACTTATCCAGCCCATTAACTGACACTCTGTTTGCTAAACACTCTTCTAAGAACAGTAAATTTCCTACAAAATGTCAACGAGTGTTACCAATAACCAAAAGATAACAAAAAATGAATCACTTTGATTCCTTCTTTTACATGTACATACACTCTCCTTCACACCTTCCCCCCCCTCTCTCTCCCTCTTTTTTTCATGTCTTACCTCTTTTT